AGCTGAAAATGCGTATGTTTTGTTCTGGTTTGGATTGAGCTAGTTTTTATTTTTGATGGTTTATCCTTAGTGAAATGCTTCAAGAAAAAGGGCGTGGCAGTGTTTCTAACAGCTTTTTTGAAATTTGTGCTTATTAAGGCAAAATAGACAGGTTCAGAGAAACTGTGATACAGACTAACAAGTTCAGGAAAGTGCATTCTTTCAGAATCGTGCCATTTGATAATAAATTTTTAGCTCTGCTAGTTACTTCATTTACTTTGATGAGCTTACTGTTTTCCACAGTTCAAATGAATGTAGAATGTAAGTTTGAAAAGAAAGTAAAGGAACTTCTTTTTTTGAAACATGGTGTTCTCTGTCCTTTGGACTTTGGGAGGGTGTGACAGTTGGGAAGAGTGAGATATCAGATGTGCTTATGTCAGATGTTCTGCACAAGTCTGACTCGCTTAATCCTCAGCACACTTACCAGCATGACTTCTTTCTGTTTTTCAGACATTTGTCATCAGTTCTGGGAAACAAGTTTGACCATGGGGCCGAAGCCATCATGCCAACAATTTTTAATCTAATTCCGAATAGTGCCAAAGTCATGGCCACTTCGGGTGTTGTAGCAGTTAGATTAATCATTCGAGTAAGTATACATCAAAAGAGAACAAAATGTTACCATTTTCAAATTACGTAGTGTCTCTGAGAAAACATGAATGTTGCTGCAGTGAAAATGAAATTAAGTGCTTAATCTACTTTTCTGGTTGGGCTGAGCTTGGTTGTCGGACATGTCACGCAGCCTTGTGTAGATGATGACGGTTAAGCCCTGCCAAAATAGTAGGAAAAGTGTTTCTTTGCAGAGTAAGATATTTCTATTGCTCTAAGAGCTGAGCAAACTTTTTTCTTTGAATGTATTTTAAACCTGCCTTGCAGGACAGACTCGTCCTCTTAGTTATGCTCTAAAACTCCTCACAGGCAGTGCGCATTTCCTAAAGCCGTTAGGTCACAAACGTGACTTCTGCCTAGTGATTCATTGGCGAAGCTGTAGATAGCCTGATATCTCAAGCTGTCACTGCTGACAGTTTAGATCCTCTTGTAGTGACTTCAGCTCCTTGACTCACTTGGAGCCTGTCGTTACAGAAGAAAATAAAACGTCTGTTAAAGGTATTTTAACAGATAATATATAAATTTTTTTTTAAATAATAAAAATATCTGTCCATAACTGTTGGTGTTCCTTTATTTAGGAGTTCTACTTTTAAGATTGAAGAAAAATAAGTATCTACATACTAGGCTAGGGTGGCTGAAGGAGATGGCCTTTCATTCCATAGAACTGTGATTTAAAGATTTCTTTCTGGTTTTGCTGTTTGCTTTCTTCTAGCATACGCACATCCCTCGATTAATACCCATCATAACCAGTAATTGTACCTCCAAGTCTGTTGCAGTTAGAAGGTGAGCATTTAGTTTGAATTTCTTCTCTTTTTTACCAGTAAATAGGTTCACATGTACTTTCTGATAACATTCATGTATCTGTTTTTATTCATGAAAAGGGTTAATATACACACTTAGTAAAGAATGCATCTCATTCTCCCCCATGAGTTGGGATCAAACTCAGTCAGCTATCTTGTGTAAGCTACAGCACTTTCCTCAAAGAAAAATGTTCTTTAAATTAGTCTGTGTTTACATGTCGTTATAACATCATACTATTTTGGCTTCTTTACAGACATGTTCCTATTTCCCACTACTAGCCATTATAGCGACACACTTTCTTTGAGCCAGTCAGCACGAGTAGTGTTCTGTGATAGTGTCATCTGGATGTTGGACTGGATGTGCTAATGGTCTTCTCTGCACTTAAAATCTAAGTGTACTTCAGTCCAGTACCTCATTGGGAGACTCTTGCCTGGTCCATCTAGATTAGCTAGTTCTCTTCTAGTTAAACAAAAAGAAGAGCTTTGTGGTTGCTGAGTTTGAACAAATAATGGCACACTTGTGCCTTATTTTCTTGAAATGAGGAAGGGAGATTGAAGTTGAAAAAATCTGTCTCCCTATGAAGCTAAATGTGAACTTTCCCTGTGCAGCCTGCACTAACAGGTACGAAGTATCAGTAGCATGGACCTTCTGGGTTTGTATCCTGTTTAATGAAAAAGGGGGCTTTCTGGATTGTTTTATGTCAGCCCTCTCTTCAGATTTCTCCGTAGGGAGGTGCCTTCAGACTGTTCATTGATGGCGTTTGTAGAGATGTTGATGTTTTTATTGGGGTTGTTACTGAATCCTAATGTCCCAAAAAGCTTCATAACAAAAGATGGCTGCTGTTCAGAGGCAGGTATGGCAAAGTCAGTGTGCCTCTGTTAATTTAGAGCTCAGCATTTCTTCTCTTTCTTCTCTCAGGCGCTGTTTTGAATTTTTAGACTTGCTGTTGCAGGAGTGGCAAACGCACTCCCTAGAAAGGTAAGCTTTGAAAACAAGTGGGTTAATTCTCTCCTACTTAGGTCTGGGGAGGTTAATCCTGGAGAGGGGATAATCTAGGAGGTGAGATTATATCAGGTAGCTCTAGCAGATATTTTTGCACAAAAAAGCACTGTATGTACACACACACTATTCATTCCTATAGTTTTGGCAGAAAGAGTTCGGTGAGTCTGTCTCCTCTGCCAGCCCTGGTAAACCTGGCTGAATCCCTGAACTCAAGAGATTTCTGCTCCCCACCCCGCCCCCCTTTGCACCCTAAAGTGAGATGATGAGGTGAAGGGTACTACACATCTATCAGGAGCTTCTGAGCCTTCTACAGTACTTCAAGCTAATGAACAGTGAAAGTAATTATGGGAAAAGAGAGTGGGACAAAATTTCCTTAGCCCTAGACTGCACAAGACTATTTAAGGTTTAAGAGAGTGGTTTTGCACCCAGGCAGTTTCAATAGCTAACTAAAGACTGACGTACGAAGAATACTGCTTGCCTTTTCCTAGTCAGCAACGTGGGTGAAATAAAACTGACTCATAAGAGTAAATAAATAAAGGCTCTAAAGGATCTTGCATGGAAATGGGAGGATGTGATGAACTCTTTGTTCTTGGAGACCAAGGCAAAATCATATTAGTCATTTGTTTATAAGTGTGGTGCATCTTTTGGGACTGCTGGATAATGTTTTCTTTCTTATTTCAGACACATATCAGTGTTAGCTGAAACGATAAAGAAGGGAATTCATGATGCAGACTCTGAAGCCAGGATAGAAGCAAGAAAGTAAGTGGAAGCTGGTGTTGGTGTCTTTTCTTCCTCCCCTTCTTTGCCTCTGCTGTGTTGTGAGTCAGTGGTATTGCATGTTGGAGACTAAAGTCCAGACAAGTTACGTTCTGGCAGTTGATGCCAACTTTCCCATGGCTTTAATGCGAGTGTGTACTTCAGAATGTCATATGAGGTGATCACATAGGGCTGAGTTATATATGTATAGTATCTTCTAATGGTGCTTGCTTCACTTTGTTCTTGTAATATTTTATTACCTTTTTATCTGTCTGAGCAGGTAAAATGCTTACCTGAGTTGTTCAAGAGTCTAGAGTTGAGAACTAGTAACCTAGTCTTTCTTTTTGATGTTTTTGTTGCTTGCAGTTAACTGAGATTTCTTCTGTTTAGTACAAAAATTATTTCTAATATATTTTTTCTTTTCTTTTTGGCTTGTATGCAAGACCTAGGACGGAGTAATGCCAGGCACAAGTATAAATTGGGAGAGGAGTGGCTGGGGAGCAGCCCTGCAGAAAGAGATCTGGGGGTGCTGGTTGACAACAGGCTCAGTAAGGAGTCAGCAGTGTGCCCTGGCAGGCGAGAGGGCAAACTCCATGCTGGGGTGTATCAAACACAGTATACCCAGCTGGTCAAAAGAGGTGATTATCCTGCTGTATTCAGCGATGGTGCAGCCTCACCTTGGAGTACTGGGTGCAGTTCTGGGCCCCACAATCTTAAGAAGGATGTGAAGGTCCTTGAATGTTTCCAGAGGAGGGCAACAAAGCCAGTGAAAAGGCTGGAAGGAATGTCCTGTGAGGAGTCGCTGAGGACTCTGAGTTTGTCTAGTTTGGAGAAAAGGAGGCTGAGGCGTGACCTCACTGCTCTCTCCAGCTTCCTGATGAGGGGAGGTGGAAAGGGAGATGCTGAGTTCTTCTCCCTGGGATCCAGTGATAGGACGCATGGGAATGGTTCAAAGCTGTGCCAGGGGAAGTTTAGACTGGACTTTAGGAAGCATTTCTTTACTGAGAGGGTGGTCAAACACTGGAACAGGCTTCCTAGAGAGGTGGTCGATGCCGCAAGCCTGTCAGTGTTTGAGGCATTAGGACAATGCCCATATAACATGCTTTAATTTTTGGTCACCCTTGAATTGGTAAGGGAGTTGGATGATTGTTCCAATCAAAATAGTCTATTGTTATTTGTCACTCTTGAAATAAGTGTCCTTGTGCTAATACACTGCTAAATGGTATCCTAAATGAAGGAAATATTTTATGACACTGAAATAATATCTTTGTGTGTATCTACAAGAAACTTTAATATTTGCAATTAATTTTCTTCTGTTGAAGATATCTTCCATTTCCATTAATATATGTGTACTTACGGTAGTATGCTGATACACTAGGATCATGCTCTTTTGAAGAGAACGCTACAGGAACATTTTTCTTCAGAAAGAGGATGCTGTAAAATATGAAATCAATGAACAATAAATTTTATTAATCTAAATGCTATGTTATAAGCAGAGTTTTTTCACAGGAGGACTGCTTAAATCCTTTTGAAAGGGAATGTGTCCATCACTGAAAAATACAGTAGGCACTGAGACTTCACAGCAGGTGACCAGTTAAGCTGAACAGGCAACAAGGAGAATGGCATGAGACTTCAGAGAGCATGCTTAATTCTCTCTTCCCGTGTTTCTTAATTAACAGGGTGGCTGATTGTAAGACAGAAATTTGTTTCTTCCTGGTGATGTGAGAAAGCATGTGACTTCTCCGAGGCTCTGAGGACTGGCTGTCACACACAAACAATTCCTGATTCATTTGAGCTAGCGATCTTACTCTTAAACTGCCTGTTAGTTATCCCCTGAAAAGTGCTGAGCGCTTTCATCTCTTTTGTGGTGAGAGTGAATGGTGGTTAGTCATCAGCCAGGAGATCTGGACCAGAGAGGAATTCTCCTCTCATCTTAAAATGTTCTTCTGTTTTCAGCGTGGCACTAATTGGAAGTCTATAGGAGCATCTCTTTCCTTTTCTTTGTTATTTCTTCCCCAAAAGACAGTCAACAGCCTCAAGTTAGTACACAAGATTTGTGTCTGCAGCATTGTAGGAGAGCTGTTTGTTAAACTTAGGAAGAAAACAACTGCAGCTGGAACTTTCCTGAATTGGGCCCATGCATATGTGTTCTGCTTTTGGCATGTTTTTGAAGTTGCTGTTGAGCACCCAGTCCCAAACTAGTATTAGTCTAGTTGGGTCTACCATTTCTCATGTACAGTAGACAGCCAGAGGGATGAAGGTTTCTTCTGTAATAAAGCTTTGTTTGGCTACTTGTGTTTTCACAATGCACCAAATGGTGCATTCCTCTTTTCTTACTTTCATTTGATTTGTCTTCTGTGTAGCTGTTTGAGCAACACAATGGGTTGAAGAAAGTGATATGTCTTAAGTGCATCATAGGGGCAGTAGGTGGTTGACGCAACTGGGCTGATGAGCCCACTAATGCCAGTAGTGAAAAGGGCTCTGACTGTACCTGTGCGCCACTGCCCTCTAAAATACAACAAGAAAATGTTCACAGTATTGTGCCTTGCTTTCAGGTGTTACTGGGGTTTCCACAATCACTTCAGCAGGGAGGCAGAGCATTTGTACCACACCTTGGAGTCTTCCTACCAGAAGGCCCTGCAGTCACACTTGAAGAACTCTGACAGCATCGTGTCCTTGCCCCAGTCGGATCGCTCCTCCTCCAGCTCCCAGGAGAGTCTCAAGTAAGTCCTTCAATGTCACTACCTCTTGATTTAAACAACTGCAGATAGCTCCATTGAATTGGAGGGAGCCATCCATTGCTTTGTCTGATCTGGTCATTGTTTGACCTCAACGCTTGGTTATTGCAAAAAATTTTTTTTTTTTTACGCTAACTTATTATTAAAAAGGCGTCAAAACCCACTACTGTCTTAAAAAAAGAAATCATTATCTTGATACCATAAATAATTTTCTAGGAAGCTTTTTGTGCTCAGCAGATATTGTTAGTAATTCCTTCAAGGTGTGCTTAAAACAACGCTTGGATTCAAATTCTGTGTTTAGAGGTGTAAGTCTGCCTCTTTCCATGTAAGAGGAAAAAAAAAAAAAAAGACTAAATGAAATTTGAGTTTTAACTGCAAAATCAATGTTACTCTTGTGTTGAATATATGTATGTTAGCTTCTCTTAGAGATACAGTGAACTTAAATTGCAGATATTTGGAGCCTAAGTGTTAGACCTATATGAAAAATATCTAACTTATTGGTGTAACTTTTTAAATGTACAAAAAATGTTCTTAAAAATCTCTTCTTCCTCAAGTAATGTGCATGGTAATTTTTTTCTTAGTGATTTGTAAAGAATTTCATGGTGGTGCTGTATTTGTTAAATAAGTTTTGTTAGTCTATTCCTGTATATAAATAACTTACTGTTAACTCGGTTGTGTACCAAGGGAACAGAGTAGCACTGTTACTGATGACTATTAAATAACAGTTTTGTTTTAATAAATATTTATATTAAATTCTAGCCGTCCGTTGTCTGCCAAAAGAAGTCCTACTGGAAGTACCACATCTAGAGGTGAGAACAGGAGCTGAAAAATGCACTCAGGTGTTGTTGAGGAAGTGTGATGAATTAGAATGAGAATTTCAGACACTAGGATATGAAAGAACAACTTTGATCACTCTTTACTGCTCCTTAAAATGGCAACTTATTATGTAAAATTTTTAATTAGTTTTGGGTTGTACACCACATTCTGTGCATCAACTGCTGATACAATGATGCTTTTGAAAGTTAGTAAATCTGTTATTGCTTGTACCTGAAGGTAAGGCTTAAAAAGCTTTGGAAGTTGTAGCCAAGGTATGTTTAGCTGTGCAATGGATGGAATAAACTACTGCTGACGTTAAGACATACAGCTTCATAGTCTAATGGTGCATTCAGCTTTACAATTTTCTGTCATTTATTCTCTGTGGTTTCAGCACTTGTGTGCAGGCGATGCCTCCACTAAGTCCTACAGTGTTAAATTCCATCTCGTTGCTAGTCTGTTTTTATTGTTAGGTGGAATACTTAGGTGCAGCTTTCCTGTCCTAAGTAAATGCATACAATAAATAGTAAACTTCAATATACAATATAACAGACAAAACTTTGTTGGTAGAAGATAAGCTGCCTTCTACACCTGACTAGGGTCGGGTTCTGTCTGGTTTGTGTATACACGACACCCTGCTGACACCTTTGATGCAAGGAGCTATTGGTGTGGAACCTACTTGACTGTGCACACAAATGCACATTTGCTTGCAGCTGGACAAGCTTCATGCTTAAGAGGGTAAGCATCAAGTTCCCATAAGTGGTGGGAACAGCAATCGTCATGAGAAGATGAGGTCCTGGGAAGGAAGTTGTTAGTTAGAACCTGGACTGAAGGACCTGCAGGTCTGTTTTGGCCAGCAACTCACAAGATGGTAATGAGTACTGTGGTTGAACTTTCCCATCTAGGTTCTGTTAGAAATTTATTACTGGCCTGGCAGCCTTTTTGATCTCAGGATTTAGGTTAGTGTCTGATAAAGTTCTTAGAGGTAGCATCAGGTCAGCATTGAAATATCTTTGCAGGAAGTGTGGGGAAGCCCACATTGCCCTGATAAAGCATTCTTAGTTGAGGTATTTTAGTGCCAGCAGGGAGAGTTAAAAATAGTACATTAAACTGCTTGTCAGACTCTTTGAAGCACACAGCTCAAAAAATTAATCTTCTTTATTCTGGATCTTCCACTCCCATCTGCAGCATCTACAGTAAGTACAAAATCTGTGTCAACACCAGGATCTCTGCAGCGATCCCGCAGTGACGTCGATGTGAATGCAGCAGCTAGTGCCAAGTCAAAAGTGACGTCTTCTGGAGCATCCACCCCCTTCAGTTCTGCTGCAGCCTTGCCCCCAGGCTCATACGCATCACTAGGTAAATCTACATGCTCTCCTACTCTTGCAGTTAGCTTTCTTTACTAGCAGAAAGTGCCTGGTAGTTTTATTTGAATAATGAACCCTAACTAGAAGAACATATCTCTGAGATAGTTACCAACTCTCCAGGATCAGTGTGTGATCTCTTGCCCTTTGGGATTAAGGAAAAAATTTGCAACAGAACTGACTTGAAGCAGCTTCTTAGTTTTTGAATTGTACGGTAGTCTGTGTCTCACTCTTCTTTCTGGGGAAAAGCAAATCTTACTTCAATTCTGGGACGTTGTTGAGGAAAACACTGCTCAATTCCTTCTGACGTGTCCCCCTATCTCTTTTCCTTCTCTTCCTTCCCTCCTTTCCTGAAACTGGTTTCCCGTTAATTGTTTTATGCTTTGAATGGTACATCCTAGTTGAGTTTGATCGCTTTCTGTTTCACAAAAGAGAGATGTAGAAGCAAAGAGAAGAAGTTTGACTTCCCATTTCACCACACAGGATATAAATATCTGTTCCTTATGCTGACTCTTTTTGGATTATAGCATTGTGACATTATTCTCTCCAAGCATCGTATATCACTTTCAGGTGCCCCAGGGTTTCCTACAACAAAGTTTGCATTTGATCTTTCTTTACTGGAGATGCTGTTGAAGGAGGCATGGAGGAAGAAATGCAAGGCAGTGATGGGCAGAGCTTCAACTCAGTTATGAGCAGAGCTGACAATCTGAGCTAGTTTCTCATTCTGCTGGTTTCATGCTAATCTAATTCCAGACTTCTCATCGATTTACCTTTACAAGAAGGAGGAAAAATAAGAAATCAGTGATCTTGTTTCAAGCTGTGTAGATTGTCTTCACTGAGTCAGTTGAAAAGGTGCTTCTCCTTAGTGTAGAGCATTTGGTCTTTAGTCTGATAAAATATGCTTGGTGACTTATATAAGAATGGTTTCTATAGATTCCTTTTGTAGACAGGTTTCTTTCATGTCTGAAGTATTTTACCTTGGCTTAAATGTGTTGGTTGTATTTGGTTCAGAAGTTGAATTCTTATTCTGATTTAAATTGTTCATACTTGTTCAAGATTTAGATACTTTGCAGTGAAGACATAACACAGGGTATGAAGTTGATGACATAATAGCATGCTTTTGAGCTTACAGATGCAACCATTTTTCAGTGGCAAAACTGCTTTTGAACAATCCTGTGTCATAAGGAAGAACGGAAGAGGTAGAGAAGTATCTGCTAAAGTTGGCTTTGTCCTTGAAGTCAGGAGACTGAATACAGCATTGGTCTTGCTCTTAAAACAGACTGTAAGAGAAAAGCGGTAAATACACTCATAAGCGATGCAAACATGGCTGCTCCTCAAGGCACCTTCTTCCTTTGAGCTAGTAAGGACATTTGTCACCTGCACATTCCTGTGAGGCAAAGAAAGAAAATGGAGTTTGGCAAAGATTGGTTATTGCAGGAGGGAAAACCTGCAGCATATTCTTCAGATACATTAAGCTTTGATTTGCTGCTCGAAGTTTTTTTCATTTCTTTAATTGTGTTAATTTTTTTGCATATTTCTCTAGCGAATATACAGTGCCCACTTCTGTTGATGTTACTAATTTTCCCTATTAACCCTTTCCTTATTTTTTTTTTAATTTGCCTAAAGATGGTACTACCAGTAAAACTGAGGGTAAGCAGTCTCTCTGTGTAACTGAGGTGTGTCCACAGTCGTACCACCCTACCTTGGTCTCTGTTCTCAAAGTGTTATCTGGTTCTCATCCATATTCACTGGTGACCTGCATGAAGTGTTGCATGGTTGTCCTGCTCATTTTGATGCCATGGGGTATTCTTCACGTTCTCTTCAAGCTCCTCAGGCCACTAATGGGCACTAGTCTGCTTTTATGACTTGACTTCTGATCACAAAGCTGTATGTGGGTCTCTGTATTTAAAGCACTGCTTTTGCTTGAAGGTGACCTGTGCACAGATTCAAAACAAAACCCAACCAAAAGACCAACACAGGGCTTGTGTTTTCTTGCTCCATGATGTGTAAAGGTTTGCTGTGTTTTTCCGTCCAAAGCTCAGGTCACAACTGCCAAATGTTTTCGGGAAGAGACTGGGCAGTGAGAGAATTGAATGAGATGATCACATGGCAGAAAAATGAGGACAATAAATAATGATCTCTAGGGAAGGAATATTTAGTCAACCTTTTAGAACCTGAGCTCTCTCTTTTTGTTAACTGAGTGAGATTGCTTACATATGAGATAGTTGGAGGAAAGGCTTTTTTTTTTTTTTGAGAACACTGAGCCAGCTAGTTTGGGAGGGCTCCCAGTCTCATTCTCTGGCTCATTGTCAAAGCTTGTTCTTTATTTTTCTCAAGCAAAAAAGATCACTGGGAAGTCACTTTTTCTGAGGCAGACAGGAGTTGAAAACTAGAATGTCTTCTACACATAATGAAGACACTACACCCCCAAGAAACCCATTTTTTCCTGATGCAAGTCTCTTTTCAAGGGATCTATTACTGTCTGTGTGGGACTGTGCCTCATATCCTTGATGAGTGCTTGTATTTGGATGTGGTATTCTAAGAAGTGCCATGGTGCAGTTGACATGTATGGTGCTGCTGTGCGGTTGAGGTGTATGGTTTTTTTCCATCCTATTATTGGAAGGGTCTCTACCATCTTTAGAACTGTCACTTAATCTTGGTGTTGAGAGATGAACTGGCTCTGGATCATGAGCAAGTGTTTGTGCTTTGTGATCTGTCAGTGATAGGAATATTTAGTTGACCTAAACAACTTCATTTCTACCTCAACAGCAAGTTAGATGAAAGTTCCAGATTGTTGTAATCCTTAGGTTTTTTATTCATTGCTGACCTTCTTTTTCTTTTCTTCCTTTCCCCCCAGTTCTCAAACCTTTCTATTTTTAGCCTAACTTTTAAAAATTGAATGTTTAATAAATAATAATTTATTAAATACCCTGTGCAGCTCTCAATCCTTTCCTAGGCTATAATATTTGTGGAGGGCTGTTCCAACAGCTGTCCTCTGGAATACCTTTGTTTTCAGTTTATTAAATGCTTTATTTATCATGCAAAAGGGTAGTTTCTTATTTGATTAGGTTTTTTGGTTGTTTTTTTTCAATTCGGCTGTATTGGAAGCAGATTGGATTTGGTAAAAATCTGTAATAGAAACCAGCAAGTCACTTCAGGGGAAAGATTGAGAGATGAACTTTCAGAAATGTAGTTTGTCATCCGCTTCGTGTTAAATACCAGATCTCATTTCCTCTTTTTGCTGTAGGATTCTCTTTTTGCGGGGGGGGAGGTGGGGGGGGTAGGGGGGGATCAGGGAGGATTATAACAATGTGGCACACTACAGTCAGAGCACTTGAAGGATGAGTTTAATCACTGTTTGGAACTTTTTGTCTTTATTTTCCTTTGTTGAGACAGTTGAGGGAAAACTAGCCTTTGTTCAGGATTTGGTGTGTCCTACAGATGAGGGCTGAGAAAGGTCTTTTGCCCTGGAAATGCAAGAGATAATCTTTGAACATAAAGCAGAAATTCCATCTACACCCGTGCCCCTGGGGTTTTTTGCAGGTCACCAATAAATAATTTAAGAGCAAATCCCTGTGGTTTTTTTTTGTGGTTCAGCTTGACATTAAATCTGAAGTCTGGTTCCCATCATGGTTTTCTGTAGCCGCAGAGTAAAAGTTCTGCACCTTCCCCTCAGCTGGGAGCCAGCATTGTGCGAACTTGGCAGTTCCCATCTGCTTTGCCCTCAGTTCTCCTCAGTGTTTTGGTTTTGAGCCAGACATCTCAAAACAGGAGCAAGAGTGGGTTATGCCAGTGGCATGAATACAAGAGCCTGAGTATCAGTCCTTTGGTTTTAAGTAGTGTCACCCCACTTGAGAAATGCTGTTGAAATGCACTTCTGCATGGAAAGGTAGCGTGAGTCTGTATACCACCCAAATCTGTGCAGGTCTTCTGCTGCCTCCGTGCTGTGAGGCTGTCTCTTCATGCAGTGCACAGTTATGTTTTGATTGCCCAGATGCTTCATTTATGGGTGTCTCTTGAACTTCATTAAGAGTTTTCCAGGCAGAAAGGTTGTAAGATCTAAACCCTTATCTTGATCAGGCCTTCACAGCTAGTGCTATGTAAGTACCAGTTGTGCCCTAAATCCACGTTATGCCTGATTAAAAAAGAACATCAGAAAAGTTTCTGCTTGTTATATCATGAACCAGCTTTTCAAGGAATATTTAAAAAGAGGTGCATAATGCTGACTTTCAGAACAGAAAAATAGTTCAGAGTGTTTCTGTTATCTGGCTGCCTTTTCTTCAAAAGTGAGCATGAAGACAAGCTTTTCAGGCAAGCATTTCCCAAAAGGGGGAAGCATAAATGCTGGTCTGTCCTGAAACCGGCAAGTTTAAAACAAAATCAGCAGTTTCCAGAGTCAGTGGCACAATTTTTAATAGTTTGTATTATTCACCAGAAGGGAAATAAAATCTGGTTTATTATAGTTTTCAAGTAGCAGATCACTCTTTTTGAGCCTAATCTTCCTTGGACATCTTGAGCCTTACCAAAGGCTTTGAGAGTAACACGGTTTATGAAATCACCATTACTGTTTTCTTCTCTGCCTTAAAGCTCTTCCTTGACCTCAAGGACAAGGAATGATTCAAAGGTTTGACTGAACACGGTATCTTAAATGGAAATGCTCAGGTAGTAGGTTCTTTGTTCTCTTGGTCCATCTCTTTACATGTACTGACTTGATTTGCCTGTGCTTGTTGGTGTAGGGTGAAGTGGTGCCTCTGTTGTTACCTCAGCTCTCTGTTTTGGAGGGAGTTCTTGTGCAAAACCCAGAGGCAACATATGCTGATGGCTTTCAGTAAGGGTTGAGTGCTTCTCAGAGGAAATGATGGTGTGGAGTCAGGTCTTCTACTAATATAATGTTGGGCTTGTGCTAAATATGCATGGAAACTATACCATGCTCATTGTAAAAAGTTGTTTACAGCTTTATATGTAAAGCATGTTTTTAATTGATGTGGGCTTGTCTCACAGATGTCCATGTGTCGTTTAGGAGTGGCACAGCTAGGTGGGTCCTAGATGCATTTTTCAGGAATGTTTTTCCTCCAAGGGAGGGAAAAACCCAATGCTGAGTAACCTAAATGCATTAACATGTTCCATGGAGAGACCATTACTATCCCAGTGCTTCCTTATATAACTTGTGTGATTGTAGGTATCATTATTCACAGCATGGAACTGATTAAACTTGGTTGTGGAGCTGTTATATACCATTTCTAGACTATTAGAAAGCATTTTCTTCAGTGTAATATACAGGCTGGGTCTCACAAAGCCTATGTCTGTTCTGAGCACTGGGGATGGAGATGCTGCAGTATCCTCCCAGAGGAGCTCAGAACATCACTGCTGGATGAAGCCTTTTGTAATGCAAAAATGTTATCATAGGATCTTCCTTTGCTTGTTCCTTTTTAAAAAAAACCAAAACAACCTTCCTAGGTTTAGACATATGTTAGACATTTCAAGGTTGATTCTGATCCATTGTTTGTTGTAAAAACTGACAGTAACTTCAAAAAAATGAAATGAATTCCCCCTAAAAAAAAAAAAAAAAAAAATATCCAGAAATGGTTTCTTAACACAAAGCATTTATATGGCATCTTTCAAAATACTTTCTCTCCTAATGGTGATGTGTCACATGTCAAATTTAGATCAAGGGCTTTTTTATGGAAATACTTTTATGGTTTTTGGAAACTAGTTGGGGCAGTCTTTATCTGTTCTTTTGCTCTGCTGCTGTTGTCAGGATGCAGTAATTATTTTAAGAGCAGCAGAAAAATAATGATTATGAAATGTGAATTGCTACATCTGCAGTGTGTGCTAGATATGGAAACAAACCCCCTTGAAAGCAAAGAAGTTTTGGGAGGGGAGGTGTTTGCTTGAGTTTAACAACTCAACAAATGACAAAAGTAGTCTGAATAACTTATTTGATATGCTATTCACAGTCTTGCTTGAACTAGTTTTTCTGTCTGGGGTAGAGTGATAAGCATAAAGCCACACATAGTCCTGTGTGCAAATAACTCCAGGCTGAGAATGCAGATTCTTGTTTGCAGATTAAATCCTTAAGGGAATGTAGTAGAGACATTTGTATTGTATAGATGAACTTCTGTATATACAAGCTGTACTTGGTATAATGTATATTAAAAACCTTGAGATTTTCAAGCCAGACAGATAGTGATTCATCTCACATTACTATAAAGCAAATAGGTTTTGGATATCATAAGACTAATTTAAAAGTTGCACATGTGTGTGAAGATCAGTTAATGTATGAAACATCCCAGGTCCATCTCACGGTTTTCTCTCTCATACAGATTTTCCTAAATCAATTTTGAGTTCCAGTTGGTCAGTTTTTGTTTTACAGCTGAAAACTGTACTTGGATACGAAAAACTTAGAATTCTATCTTTTTTCCTTGAAGAGTAACTTTGGGTCACTTAGTTTTAACCATTTGTATGCTGCAAGTACAATTAATTCCCTGTATGAAAAAATAAATACATAGTTTTTGAAAGTTCAGAAAAGAAAACTTTGGAAAGTTTATTAATAATTCATGCTTCAAGGAATGCATATAAGTGATATCAGATGGCACCTTTTCCTTGTAACTGTGTGAAGAGTTTGACCTTGAATTTGAGAGGCTTTTTTCCCCCTTATGTTTTACTTCATCCCGTGGACTTTAAAAATAAGGTACTCCTAAGGTGGGTTGCTACTGTGCTATTGCAGTGTTTGTACCGTTACATAATTTTTATGTCATGAATTTCTAGTTTTTGCGATTGTTGTTGTTTGCACAATGCGAGTCCAGTGCAGTATTAGTTCAAATGTTTGTCAGCCTTTTTAGAAGGATGAGAGAACCTGTATCAGTGTTGGGACTCTGTTTCTCCTGTGCAAGAGCAACTCTTCATCCCACATTGTCCTCTCTGACACCCATTAGGCCAAAAATCAGTGTGCAAATCTACCAGTCCAGAAGGAAGCAGAATTTTGTTCCTGGACATGTATTCATTTATTCATTCAAGAACTACTGAAGTTGGTAGGAGTCTGTCCACTGACTCTCAGGAGTTTCAAAATAGGACTGAGCTCTCTCTTTCTAATGCTGCTGATAATCACATGTTAATTAAGTTTGACCCTTTGGTTCAGTTTTCTTTCTTGAAGCCCCCAAAATTGGTATTGGAAGCTAACCTTGGTTTCTTTTTATAAATTGTTTTAGGTTTTGCATTTCCTAAGGTGCAGAGTCACATTACATATTGTCCCAGTTTCCTCCTTGTTCTTAGTCACTTGCTAATAAAGCAATAAAAAAGGATTTAGGACATGCAGGAAGAACAGAAAATTTTGAGGATCTTGAGAATGGCCTGTGCATAAAAGGAGGCGGTATCAGTCTCTTCTTGCCTATTCTTGGCCCATACACACCACTAAATGTGGTTTCCAGTACTGTTGTTACTGTGTGTAACGTTGAATTTCAGCTTGAGTTACCCCCCCGGGACTTTCTGTTGGTCTTCTGGAAGGATGTAAATTAATTCCATTACTGGTTCCTAAGACCGGTTTAACTTCTTGTGTTACTGTTTTGTACTCCTGCTGCCACCTGTGTTGCCCTCCTGATGTGAGAAACAAAAGGAAGCCTTGAGGCTTCTGACAAGAGCGCGAGGTCCTTCTGCCTCCTTCCCTGTGCGCGCCTGCTTTGAAGCCTGCGGTGGGGCATGGGGTATGCGCCTTGTGGCAAGTCGCACAGTGGCTCTGCTCATCTGGGTGTAGCTGCACGTGTGCTGAACTTGGGAAGGATGGGAATGAGCCAGCGAGGGGCAAGCTATAGAGCTGTCTCTGGGATGTGTGTCAGGCCGACCATTTGTAAGGGGCAGATAACGTCCTAGAGCAGAGATCTGCAGCCTTGCTGGTGGTAGGAAGACCTCAGCAGCCAGTTTCAAGACTGGACCCACATGGACGTGCTCCGAGTTTTAGTTGAGCCAGTAGTTTAAAAGTGAGTTGTTTATATTTTCCCAGTTTTATGCTAATTATTTCTTCTGTCTCATCTACAAACAATCACTGGAATGTAGATACCTGCCTTGCCTACTGAGCTATATTAAAACTAGATGCTAGTAGAGAGGTCTGAAGTTCAGCTGTCTTCTATGCTTTTTCTCCTGCAAAAAGTCTAGGCTTTATTCTCAAAGTTAAACATCTCCTTGTCACTTTGTGTTTCTCAGAAGCTTGCAGACCATGTTATGAATATTTTGAGAGCTCAGAAGAACAGAGCTCTCAATCCGTTCAGCCTGGGCTGCTTGCCGTTGTCTCGTCCTGCATGTGTACCTTACGTGATTCTTTTTTTTTCCCCCTGGGAAGTGTATATCCCCCTGTTCATATTTCTCTGTGTGCTTATGGTGGAGACAATGGGCAGGAGATGCATATCTATAACTGATGGGTACAGTTGTCTAGACTCTTCTCTTACCTGTTGTGGTTTTTTTCCTTTTATTATTGTGCCTAAAACTTGAAGTCATTCTCTGAGTGCAGGATAGCACTGGCATGAGTCCTGAGAAACAGCTTCAGATTTGGCAGAGAACTGAGTTGTTGAAAAGTACTAATGGAGGCTTTGATTGTGTTGCTCTTAATTATTTCTTTCCCATTAACTAGACAGAGATAATTGAAGCTTAGCACTGGAGAGAACATTCTGTAGGAAACAGCTCTGCCCCAGGAAGGGGATGAACTGATGACCCTGTAAGCTTCTCTAGCTCAAATTTCTGTGGCTTTTTCATGAGGAAAGGATGGAAAAAGGACCAAGAACACTTTGAGACTTCATACCCATTCTCCACTTAACTAAAGAGCAGACACAAAGAATCATTTTTCCACAATGTTGATTGTGTTAAATGGGACTCTCCATTACAAGTAAAGTTACACTGATCTCAGGATAAATAGAAGGGATCTGTAAACAGCAGGGAAGGCTCAATGAGCCTGAAACAGAAGCGTAGTCAGGCTGCACTGACGGACTCTCGCAGGAGTGCATGCCAGCCTGTGCATGTAAAGCAGGATATAAGGCACCAAACTGCCAACTGGAAATCCCAGCGATGGAATTCGTGAGGGCACCTGTCACACCCATCTCCAAAAGAGTGATCGCCTTGTCAGAGAGTAATAATTTGATATAGGAAGCAGCATTTAGGAGACTGAAATTTTTGTCGTCGATCCTTGGTAAAGAAGCTACTATAGAACTGAAGCAAAGGCTATAGAGAGGTAACATTTTTTAATTAAACTGGCTGATAGCATTACAGAAAGCAAAGAACTTTTGGGACTTGTGGACTGTGACTGTTTCCACTCCCTGCCCTGCATCTCAGCCAGTCTAAATAAAGATGTTGCCTCTCCCTGTAAAATTTTTCTTTTGTACCCTGTTTAATTGTGTGTATAGCAACCTTACAAGCGTAGAACAGTATGTTAGAAACTGCTGCTGTCTTTGGAAGAAACCTATTGACAGTCTGATTGTCTTTGCATTCCTCCAGGTCGGATTCGTACAAGGAGACAGAGCTCTGGCAGTGCCACAAGCGTCACATCAACGCCTGCTGATACCCGAGGCCGCAGCCGGGCTAAAGTGGTTTCCCAGTCCCAGCGTAAGAAGTGTTTTATTTCTAGGGGAGCAGAACAAATAGATATTAATATGTTTCTCTTGAATTGCAGTAGTGTCAGCTGAGGATTGGGCTCACTTCTGCTAATAATGTTTGGACATGTAACAAAACAAATTCCTGCTCAGCCAGTGTGTACTTCTGCTGACAAATAAGTTCCCAAATCCGAGTGCTTAGTTGCTGCCTTTTTTTACCAGCTGTGGTGCAGAATTTCATGTTGCCTTGATGTGTAGGATTAAATAACTTGCACTGGGTCCCACTGAGACACTCGCTGTGTCTAGCTGACTGCTCTCCTGGGTTCTTGCCCTGCCAAGCTTGTCCTGCTTGTGTGGCTGTATTTCTGTATGTGTAACATGTGGGCTGTCTAAAGTTAATGGGATTTGGCATCAATTTAAAATAGGACATTACCTATTTTGTGTAGATATGGGGGAGGTGGTTCTGCTCTCTGATTCACGTGACCCATTGCTCTCTGGCTTAGTGGCAGGGCATGGTTTTCCCCAAGAAGCCATACATACGGTGCTGCTGCATATTTGTCTTGTGTATCTAAGGAGAATTTTGTCACTCAAACTCTAAAAAGAATTGGGGGGAGGGAGAAAGCCACTCATGTTTTGAGGACCTTCAAGCTTGCGGGTAAGAAGAGGTGGGGTTTGTGGAAAGACCTGTTTGTCCTGAGGACTTGCCTTGCTTTGTACCCCTATTTAAAAGCCCTGCTCTGTTTATGCTCTCATTGCTTTGCTCTGTCATGCTGGAAGGATGGGGAAGTAGTTTATAGCATTGTGTTAAGCTGGGAGAGCTGAAGAGAGTAGTAGTATATTCAGCATGGGACCAAATCTTTACATTGAGGTCATGAAGGAATTTGGGCTTTGATATGCTGATCTAAATTGTTTTCTTCAGTTTTGAATGTAAAATTAATCCAAAACCAGAAATTACCTTTTTCCCTAAACGTAGTTTGTTGAAAAATTATCAGACCAGATGAGGCAAGTCCCAGAAATATTTAAAGAATAACTGAGTATCCAAAGGTTTCAAAGATTATGGGCTTAATTTTTTTATAGAAGGTCTTATGAAGCTTTAGGATGGTCACATCTGAATCTTCTCCCTTGGTCCAGTTTGCTGAATCCCAATCCCAGCCTAGCCCAACCAGATGTGAACTTTATCCTTAAGCCAAACATTGCATAAAATAACTTAGGAATTCAAATATAATACGGTCACAGGACCAAATTCTCCATGTCCACACAGTGGATAACCCTGTTGCAATTTTGCAGACAGGGCTGGGGTGTAATTTAGAGCAGCACTTGGGTCTCAGAGTGTTGGTTCACATTTAGCTAAGAAGCTGATCAATGTTGGGAAATGGTTAGTCACATCTGCACACTAACTCACTGCATTCTGCAGAGGCTTTAGGAGTGACATGTTTGTGAATAAATCTGTCTGTATTTGTATAGCATAAACCGCATGCTGAACGCTGTATTGTCTTGCTGTCTTTTAATCCACTTTTTGCCTGTCCTTTGGTCTGCCCTCATAATCAAGGATCCAGATCAGCTAATCCTGCTGGTGGTAAGAAACGTTTTCCCTTTCTTGCTTTCTTACATTATTTCCTTCACATTTAACTGCTAAGCTTTTAGCTTCCCTCTTTCCTAACTATGAGACTTAAAAAGCATTTTATTAAAATCATAAATTCAAATGTGTATGGCAAGTGATCTTGCTTTCTCATAGTAATCAAACGTGGTAAGCATACATTCTGCATATGGAGACTGGCTCATTGCTGTAGCTTAAACTCCAGGTGCTAAATTCTTCCAGTTACTACAGTACAACCCTGCTGACACCAGAGAGATTGCAGCAGTGTAAGTTGGAGGAGTATTGGCTTTCAGGGTGTGGATGCTGTATGGCTGGCATCTGTCACAGGTATTCTCACTTTTCGGGGAGTGGGGGAGCCAGCACCACATACAGGATTGGGGTGTATGATGTGATTGCTTCAGAATTGTTTTGGCCAAGAAACTGCAGGGGGCACATAGGTGAAAATAATACATGTGTTATGGTATTGCCCATCAGATTAGTAGAATTGCATAACTTCTTAAGACAGAAGAACAGTCTTAACTCTTGCTAGTTGTAATAGTATCTAGAACTGAAATTTTTGGGATGTGTAGATACTTTTCAGAAAGACCAACATGAATATCGATTCAGAATGCGAGCTTGCCCGAGTATGTTCTTGTAACCTTTTCAAATATAGTTTTCCTGGCTGTTTTAGCAAACAAATAGTATGTCGGGAATGGTAAATAGCAGCAGCAAATTTTCAGTGACTTTTATATAGCTGAAGAAGCAAAAGAGAATCTTGAATCTGTTATTCTCACAGCTCTTTGTGGCTACCTTTAAGCTAGCATTGCTAATTTTCAAGCAACTTAGCAAATGAGGATCCACAGAAAAAAGTGTTACTCAATCATTGAGTTAGCAAGACTATCAGAAGTATCTGCTGCAACTGAAATGTAATTATGTAAATAAGTCTTGGTTAGTAGACTGTCTTGCAGACAACATGGCTTAGCAGAAATGTAAATTTGCATGGACTAGTCAAACAGACAAGGAAAAACAGGCCAACTACTCAACTTGCTAAAAATTTTCTCCAGCTGAAAAATAACTAAAATAATTTAGCTTAACCAGTCAGACCCAAGTAAGCCAGTATCTCTACAAATGTGACAGGCTCACTTGGTTTACCCTTTATTGTGCTGATCTGCTGCTGTTGAGATGGTATTTTTAAAATTTTCATTCACTGAATTCTTGCAGGAAAGTAATGCCACCACTGCAGTGTAGCATGAAGATGCCCGAGCTGCCCTGCAGCAGGTTACCTGTGCCAGAAGCTGGCTTGCTGCAGCAGAGTGCTCCAAACAGGCTAATTCGTGTTGCTTCAACAAGGAGGTGAAGCAGCCTGTGAATTCCATGCTGCTGCAGCAAGGCTCCTCATGGCACCTCCACAAGCTCACGTAAAGCCAGCTGGGGTATTTGTACACTGCTGTATCTGCTTTTGTCTTGATCCCAACTGGGCAGCGTGGTTCATACAGGCAGGGTTGCTGATGTCAGTGTTTATTGTCCATGGGCTTCCCCCAGTCTTCCTTGAAAGCCCATGGGGAACACTAGTATCAATTTTCTGAGTGATTTGGATCAAATTCTTAGGCAGAGCTGATTGTGTTCCCGTTTTGCTGTCAGAGTATTTAAAAATTTGGGGGGCTTTAATAGTTTTTTTCCTTATTTCTCGTTCTCTTCTAGCTGGTAGCCGGTCTAGTTCTCCGGGTAAGCTGTTAGGAAGCGCCTATGGTGGCCTGAGTGGTGGAACATCCAGAGTCCAGCCAGTGCCATCATCTTCAGAGAAGCGCAGCAAGATCCCTCGGAGCCAGGGATGCAGTCGAGAGACAAGTCCCAACAGAATAGGACTAGGTAAGAATAGTCACTGCAGTGACATGCTGACTGGCGTGCTCGAAGGAGGAACTTTCTTGTTGACTAGGAAATTGTTTATGTGTTACTGTTGTTGTTCTGAGTTTTTCGGCTGGCAAGTTGCTGTGTTTGTGGTTTGTAGGAGAGTAATTTTAATTTTCCTGGTTGAGGTATAGTTTCAAAGTAGGCCTAAAGATGTCACGAGATGCTTTCTATTTGAAATTAAACATGAGCGCTGTTGTTAGATCAGGCAGCAAAAACAGTTGTCGTGAATAATCGTCACAGCAAAAATATCTCATTTGTCATCAATGGCATAGTCCTAAAATGAGTTGAGCAATCTTTACAGTCAATTGTAATCAAGGGCAAAGAACACCATCTTGGATTATTTTAGAAATTTTGCAGCTTAAATGGTTTGCTTCTCTCATCCTCAATATCTTGGAGCCACTTTCTTAGATGGCATTTTACACTTATGCTTTAATTATTCTGCTTCCAAGATTCTTGTCTTAGTGACTGTTATGTAAATATTGTATAATAGTTTTTATTTTCAAATCTGTCAGCAGACTCATTTTTTTTGATCAGGTGAGTAAGCATCATTATGTATAAACTTGTATATCTGAATTGAGGTGAAAAGATATTCAGTGTGCTGTCTGAACCAGTAAATATTGTTTTCTTTTTTTAAATGGAAATGTTTTCAGAAGTATTTTCTATCTCTGAAGAATGTGCTAGTAGGTTGAAATTGATTGAAATTATATCCTTACTGTTGTCAATTAAATTTTTAAATGTTGCCTTAGCAATTGTATTTTAAATTTAAGCTACGTTTCTATTTAGAGCATGTTGTTAGTAGACAAGTATCTTATTCATTCTTCAGGTATATTGAAATGAATGCAAAGCACCTGAGTACATATACTGTTATGGTTCATAAAAATATTGCATGTTTATTGTCATTATATTTCCAAATTCAGTGATGTTCTCAAGTCTGATCTATTTTATGGCCTCTGTATGAATATGTTGTGCTTTTCTGTTCATTGCTTTTAAAACATGAAGTGCCTCCCAAATACTAGAGGTAGTTGCTCCGCTATCACTCTGCAGAAGAACATTGTTTTTAGGAGGAAGCAAAGAATGAAGGATAGTACCATCACACACCCTTAAGCTGATGATAACATTATGTGGTCTAATTTGAAATAGTCTCAAGCATCTGGAGGGAAATCGCCACATGTAAAATCCTCACTCTTGGGTTGCTTGCTTTCAGGTATATTATGGGAGCCTTGAATTCTTTTGAAAGGATAATTTTTTACCTTGTTGCTCGGATGTGCTCCCTGTGAACACAGTCCGTGCTTGTTCTTTGGGAGTGGGAGAGAGCTCTGACAGATCTATCAGATGTGTGGTTTTCACCTGTCCCTGCCCCAGCTGATGGCCAAAGCCTGTTCTCTTGGCCTGTCATGGGAGCAGGAGAGTCTTGACACTTGTGGTGCCTTTAGCACTCAGTTGCAGAAACTGTCTTCAATGGATCTTGAAAATGGTAATATTGGCTTCGATAGAGATAGCTTTTGACCTGTCATCTTTATACCATTATTCCATTATTTATTACTTTATAACATAGTAGCTAACAGTATTTTATGCTTTCTTACTGTGTTGCTTCAGTCTCTATCTTTCCTTGATGCTTTTTCATTTGTTCATTTCATTAAATAGTCTCCCACTCACCTTGGCCCTAAATATGTCGATAGACTTTTTCAGAGTCTGACTCAAGAAGGTGATTGATCACACATATGACATCAAATGTACATGCAATACTTTAGGCTTTGTGAGATTATTTAAGTATTTGATACACACGTGCTTATCCCATGGGCTGAAACATCTCTTAAGGCTGTGGTCACACTGCAGTGCAGCAGGTGTTGAACCACCGTGCAGACCAGGCTGTTAAAAATGGGTAATTCCTGGATCCTGTTCATAACTCATCCATTGCCTTGTGTAGTTTTTGCAGGGGTGACTGGGAGTTGCAGCCAGACCAATGCTGTGTGTGCAAGAGGAAGCACACAGAGTGGGGGTCCCTGCGTGCAGGTGGGCTTTATACAGGAACCGTCCACTGGACTCTTTCAGGCCCTTCTGGGGCAGTGGCAAGCCAACAGAGCCTCTGCATGTGGATGCCTATTAGCATCAGTACCTTGCTGCTAGCTTAGATTTCCGTGATGACTGTGGGTATCCATGCAGTCTGTTCCTTCTGTGTGCTGGAAACCTTGAAGTATGTTGGTTTCCAGGAGGTGGCACAATGAGGTGCATTTGACATGCTAAGGTCCTGCTTAGTCACCTATATGGCCCTGCTCTGTGGTGCTTTTCACAGAATCATGGAATCATTAAGGTTGG